TGGTGACACTCAGTCGCCTGCTCAACCAGCTCAACAATGTCAAGATGTTTCCCGGCGAATAGGCCGGACCATACATCAACCGCTGCAGGAACCTGAGAGATCAATTCAGGAAAAGCGGGCAGCAACTTCGCTGACGACATGTTCGTCACCATCATCCTTGCTGGATTGAGCCCGGAATGGCGCCAATGTAAGTCCCTCCTTCGCATGCAAGGCACTCTCAGCAAAACTGCCCTCTGCTCTACGCTTCTCTCCAAGCAGAAGGAAATCGACCTGTACAACGAACGAGGCAACAAAAGGAGAAGATTGCCTTTTACGCTCAAGCGCCACCGGACAAGAAAAGACTCTTCTGCAAGTACTGCAAGAAGACTGGGCACATGATTCAAGACTGCTGGAAGCTGAACGGCAACAACAACAACCAGAAGGGTGCCGCTGCTCACCAGCAAGGAGGAGCCGCTAGCGCGCAACCAAACTGTGTCGCCGCCAGCCGTCGCCAGTACGTCCGAAGCCCCGGCGCGTCTCTCTGCGAACACAAACGACAAAGGCAAAAGCAAGGTCTTGACTTGCATGGTACGTCATGGACCGCCTCGCCTCAACCGTCACTACCGATTCTTCCGCAGCAGGGAAGATACGTTCACAGACCCTGAGAAAGTTTTGAACGAGAATGAATGAGCTATGAGTGAAGTGAGTACAAATAGCAAACCCTAATTGGGTTGTACCCCCTATGGGATACCCCACTATAGCCTACACAACAGCATAAGCTATATAATGTTCTGACACACCCCCATAGGCAAAGTGGGGGAGAACAAGGGGTCACAAGACCAGTCATGCAAAGCAAAGCAAAGCTCAGGGTAGATCACAAAGTCACCACACAGTCCGAGCACAAGAGCAAGGCCACAAGGCCAGTTCACATGCAGGAGTACACACATATATATATAAAGCTAGACAAGCAAGAGCAGGTATATATATGTGACATTACAAGTAAGGTCAAGAGGAGAGCAAGTGAGGCAAGACAGGTACAAGACCCAGCTGGGTGCAGAAGCGCTGATGGTCACAAGGCGCGAGTGCCTTGGTGAACACATCAGCAGTGTTGGCCTCAGAGGCCACGTACGCAAGCCGCAACTGTCCACGCTGCTGTAGCTCACGAGCAAGGAAGTAGCGAAGAGCAATGTGCTTCGTTCTGTGCTCCAGACGCTGCTCTCGACACAAGGCCAGCATGGCCTTGTTGTCTACGTACAGCACTGGAGGAGAACGAGGCGGCTCTCCAAGGTCAGTCAGCAGGTAGGTGAGCCAGCGAAGCTCCTGTGCAGCCATGGCCCCAGCGTAGATCTCAGCCTCACAACTGGAGCTGAGAACCGAATACGAGCGGGTAGCCCGCCACGAGACAGAGCCGGAACCAAGGCTGAAGGTGTAACCCTGTGACGACCGCTGCGTAGCCTGGTCGTCAGCCCAAGAAGCGTCCGCGTGTCCCGTAAGGACCACTGGACTCCGCCCTCCAAGCACTAGCCCCATGCCCGACGTACTGCACAGGTAGCGCAACACCCTCTTCGCTGCAGCCATGTGCTCTGGTCGGTGTCTCCCAGGAGCTACATCGCGTGTAAGAATGCTAAGAGGGTATGCAAGGTCAGGCCGTGTGCAGGTCATCGGTACATGAGGCAGCCAACAAGCTCTGGGTACGGGCCACTCGACTCTACGGACTCATTCCGAAGGCAGAGCTGAGAGCAAGTGGCGAGTAGACAGAGGAGTGGCCTGAGGCGAGGAGTACGTGAAGCCGAAGCGCTGAAGGACCTGCTGCACCATGTGTGACTGAGTCAAGGTAATGGTGCGGCGTGCTCTGTCCCGAGTGATCTGCAAGCCAAGATAGCTACGCAGTTCACCCAGGTCTGTGCACGTGTGTCTCTTCAGCAGCTAGGACTTCACAGTAGGCGAGTCCAGCAGTGTCCGCTGTGGCAAAGACCAAGTCGTCGACGTACACGAGGATGTAGAACGGCGGCAGAGAAGTGTCGGTGCGCAGAAACAGCGACGGGTCAGCAGTAGAAGGAGCAAACCCAAGAGCCGCAAGCGTAGTCCTCAGTGTGTCGTGCCACTCACGCGGTGCCTGGCGGAGACCGTAGACTGGCCGTCGGAGGCTCCACTGGGTGCCAGGAGGGAAAGTCCCAGTGAAGCTTGGTGGACGGCGCAGCCAGATCTCCTCGTGCAGGCTACCCTGCAAGAACGAGTGCTGAAGTCGAGAGAGTGAAGCTCGTAGTCGCGCTGAGCGGCTATGTGCAGCAGCACCCGAAGAGTGGTCATCTTCGGGGTGGGAGAGAAGGTCTGAAAGTAGTCAACTCCCTGCCGCTGACTGAAGCCACGAGCGACGTACCGCGCCTTGAAGACAGGTGGAAAGCCCGGCGGCCGCTTCACCCTGAAGATCCACATGCCACTGACGATGTTCGCCCCAGGAGGGGGAACCGCGTCAACGTAGGTGCCTGTGGACTTCCAGGAAGCCATCTCTGCATCCATAGCTGCCTGCCACTGAGAGGAGTAGGGACCCTCTACGGCCTCCGCGTAAGAGCGCGGAGTCGGGATGTCTAGTGCATCCGGGTCTCCCTCAGGAGCAAGCAGTACAGACGCGAGATGAGGTGAAGCAGCCAGACACTTGGAACTCCTCCTGCCTGTCCTCTAGGACGTCCGTGCCAAGAGCACATTCACCCCCGACGGACGGAGGACAGACAGACGCAGACTCAGCAACAAGACTGGCAGCGTAGTCCAGACAACAGCGAGCAGCAAAGTCGACGAGCTCACTGACAAGAGCAGACGCAACAGCGGACTCAAAAGAGGGGTCAGTGACGACAGTAGCAAGCAGACGCGTGACAGTAGGACTGGCAGCACAAAGGGAGTCCGACTCTGGGTCGGCAAGCACAGGAAGGGAGGACTCAGGAGGAGAAGGCAAAGGGGCACGCAGAGGAGTAGTGGACAGACGCAGAGACATCCGGTGCGTGCCAGGGACAGGAGGAGGACGCTGACGCGAACCGCGACCACTAGCGCGAGCAGCACGAATAGGCGACGCGGGACGAGACGCAGGCTCACGGCGCTCAGCAAGACCCCCAGTAGGACTAGTGTAAGGAGAGGGAGCAGGCAGTGCGGAGGTAGGCTCCAACAGTGACTGCGACTGGACAGGCTGTGGACACTCTACGGGAGGAGAAAGACCAAGAACCTGCTGCTAGGTGCGGAACGAAGTACGGCCGAGGCCGCGCGGCAACTCTAGACTCAGCAGGGACAGCACCAGCACCCTCAGCGGCAGCACCAGCACCACCAACACCTCCAGCGGCAGGACCTCCAGCAGCACCAGCAGTAGGACCAACGCCAGGACAGACAGCAGAAGTCTCAGCACCAACACCCTCAGCAGCTCTAGCTCCAGTAGGACCCGCAAGCCCAGCAGCTCCGGGACCGGCGGCACCAGCACCCTCGGCGGTCGAAGAAGCTCCAGCTCCAGTAGTACGCCTCCAGCGGCGAGCAAACCACTCGCGCTGTTCCTGTGGAGAGAGGGGCTCTCGCCAGGACGGAGCACCAGGAGAAACCCCAGGCTCAGCAGCTCCAGGCGCAGGACCCCCAGACTCAGCACCTCCAGGCTCAGCAGCTCCAGACGCAGCACCCCCAGGCTCAGCAGCTCCAGACTCAGCACCCCCAGACTCAGCACCCCCTAGCTCAGCAGCTCGAGGTACAGCACCCCCCGGCTCAGCACCCCCAGGCTCAGCACCCTCAGCAGTAGCACCCCCAGGCTCAGCACCCCCAGTAGCAGCACCTCCAGGCTCGGCACCCCCAGGCTCAGCACCCACGCGCACAGCACCCCCAGAGTCAGCACCCCCAGGCTCAGCACCCGTAGCAGCACCAGAGTCACCAGGAACCTCGACCGGGCCAACTGCGTCTACCTGGGACACACCTGAGGGGGCAGGAACCTGAAGGGGGGAGGGGGTCTACCGGGGGGGGAACCGGCACAAGAAAGTCCGGTGGCAGGGGGAGAGAAGGAGTGCGGTAGGGGAAGAGTCGGTAGAAGGGGACTGACTCGTCGAATGTGACGTCCTGGGAGGACAGAACACGACGAGAGGAGGGGTGGTTAGAACTGCCACCCTGGAGCGTCAGGGGGGAAGCCAAGGAAGACACAGGGAGCAGCACGAGGGGACAGCTTGTCCGCAGACAAGTCGCGGACAAACGCCCGAGATCCCCAGACACGGAACGCAGACGCATCGCCAACCTTCCCCGTCCACAGCAAGACGGGGGACATCGCGGGCCGAGAGACCCTGGGGTGGAGGTTGAGCTGATGCGCCGCGTACCGAACCGCAAACGGCCACAGAAAATGGGGGGCAGCCGCATGCATCATGGACGTACGAGCGACGTCCATGACCATGCCAATGCGGCGCTCAGCAATCCATTTTGCTGTGGAGAGTCGGGAAGCGTAAAGGTATGGCGGATCCCCCGTGCACGACAGTAGTCTCGTAGAAGGCGAGAGGAGAACTCCCCACCTCGGTCAGAGTGCAGACGCAGAACAGGAAAGTCCGAGCCGAAGCTCCTCCTGAGCTGGAGACGAGCCTCGCGGATCCAGCCAATCAGCACCTCAGTGACAGCACCCTTGCTGCGCAAGGGGAAGACTGTGGTGTAACGCGAGTAGTCGTCAACCACCAACAGGAAGTAGCGCTCGTGACCCTGCCCACGGACGGGGGCCGGGCCCCACACGTCCATATGAAGTGTCTGCAAAGGAGCCTCTGTCGGGGGAAACTGGGAGGAGTGAGGAGCAGCCCTGAGGCGCCCCTCAGACACAGGGGACACAGGAAGGTCCTGGTCCCGAAGGAAGGGGAGGGAGAGACTGGGGAAGACCAGAGACAAGGACACGGGAAGCCATGCCCCGAAGACGGGGCAAGGAGGGGTGGCCAAGACGGTGGTGCCACAGGAGAGTCTTCGTGAGACAGGAGGCGACACGAACAGGGGGCAGACTCAGGGCCAGACCGGGACGCAGCAGCAAACACCTAACCTGACGCAGCTACCTGACCAGACGCAGGGACAGGAGGAGACTCAGTGGTCAGGGTGTAGAGGCTCGACCCCGGCCGACGAGAGAATGTGGCCAGGTGCCGGCCTGTGCGTGCGTCCGTGCAGTGGGTCACCCGCTGACTCGCAGGAGTGAACTGGTGAAACCCCCGCATCCTGCACGGTCCGCACCACTCACCAAGTTCGTCCGAGAACGAGGGAAGGTACAGACCAGACAGGGTGCCCGAGGGGGCAGCCGGACACGGGAGGACAGTGGAAAAGTGAGAGAGGACAGGACCCCCAGAGGGGTCAGCCAAGGGAGACTGCAACCGGCCGACCAAGCGGCGTCTGAGTGTGGTGCGGTCTCGAAAGAAGGAGCGAGAAGCTCCGTAGTCAAGTGTGAAAGTGAGGGAGGCCGAAGCCGACGCAGTACCTGAGAGCGCAGCCTCACCAGTACCTGAGAGCGCAGCCTCACCAGTACCTGAGAGCGCAGAGGCACTGGCACCTAGAGCAGCAGTCTCACAAGCACCGAGCGCAGCAGTACCAATGCCCGGGTCGGGCGGGAAACACCGGTAACAGTCACCCTCCTCACTAATAATCACAGCATACATAGCAGCAAGGATAGCATCAAAGTCAAGATCAAAGATAGCTACACAAAGCCTAGACAGCTCTCCCCAGCGGGGGATCTCACTAGCCTCGGGGAACTGCTGACGCCAAGCGTCCGTCAGGCGGCCAAAAGCAGCGCTGGTGGGTTGGGCACCCCCACACTGCTCACCCGCGCGGTCGCCGGAACGAAGGACGTAGGTGCACGGACCAGTACCCCCACCCCGCTGACGCTGCGTTGTACCACTCACGGAGCTGCTGGGGCGGAGGGATGTCCCGCGAACGCTGCTGCTGGCGCTAACCACTCCCAGAGCCGCTCCGCTGCGGGGTACCACCCCGACCAGCTCCACCCCCTCCGCCACCACCGCCTCCTCCTCCGCCTCCTCCGCCGCCTCCACCTCCACCGCTACCGCCACCACCGCCGCCTCCTCCGCCGCTGCCACCACCACCACCGCCGCCGCCACCACTCCCGCCGCCACCCCCACTCCCTCCGCCGCCTCCACCGCCACCTCCACCGCCCCCTCCAGCTCCACCCGCGCCCTTGCCCCCCTTGCCCTTGCCCAGAGCGGCGTCTCCCACTAGGGGCAGACGCCGCGCCGACCGACTCAAGACCAAGGAGGTCGGCAGCAGCAGCAGAGGCAACAGAGGGCAGCAGGGGGGAAGGAGAGCACCCCTCAAAGATGGGAGTGCGAGGGTCACCCCGAGAAGCTCCTACAGCGACGATGCTCTTCTCCGCCGCTAGGAGGGCCTTCTCGAGGAGGTCGACAGTGAGGGTGGTGGGATAGACTGAGAGAAAGTGGTCCGTGACTACGCGAAGAGAGTAAGGGAGGCGAGCGACAACGTAGTAGAGAGTGATGTACATGGGGGGGGGGGGTTCTTGGCGCAGAAGTTAGCACGAAGGGCGGCGCGGTAGCGGGTGTCACTAGTGCGGAGGTTGCGTAATGAGGTCTGCGACAGTGGGAAAGGGCAGTGAGGTCAGGAAGAGGTACGGAAGCATGAGACGGCTCAGTGCAGCAGTGGCCAGGGGAATAGAGTAGCGCGCAACTACAGCGTCGTACAAAGGTCTGAGCACTCTTGTACTGGCTAAAGTGCGCTGCGCTCAGTGGTAGGGAGGTGGCGACGCACAGCAAGACGTGCAAGCAGCATCGCGGGTGGCCCACTGAGAGCGAACAGTGGGGTCAGCATCAGCAGCAGGGCACGCGAGGCGCCAGAGGTGAGGTCAAAGAAGAGAAAGACCGTCTGCCCTATCGCACTGTAAGAAACAGCTGGGAGGTCGTCGACCCAGACCTCAAAGTCTATGGCTCGACCCTCAGCGTCAAAAGCGAGGACACTAGGGGTAGCCATAGCGAACAGACTAGCAGTGCAAGCAGTGGGGAAGGGCACGCAGTAGTAAGCAGTAGCAGTGGGGCAGTGCCGTGCTCCACAGAAAAGGGCAGGTCGGGCGGTCCGGTTCGTGGGCGGCTCGGCTGCTGTTGGGGCGGCTCGGCTGCTGCCTGGGCGGCTCGGCTGCTGCTGGGCGGCTCGGCTGCTGCTGGGCGGCTCGGCGGCTTGCTGGGCGGCTGCGGCAACGGGGGCGGCTCAGCTGCTGCAGTGCTGGAGCGGCGGGGCAGCGAGAGCAGGGACGGCGGGGCCGTGAACGCTGGGGCGGCGGGGCCGCGAGATCAGGGGCGGCTGGGCCGTAGGCGCTGGGGCGGCGGGGCCGCGAGATCAGGGGCAGCCGGGGCCGCTGGAGCAGGGGGCGGCAGGGCCGCGAGAGTAGGGTGGCGGCGCGGGCCGCGAGAGAAGGGGCGGCGAGGGCCGCGAAAGCAGGGGCGGCGATGGCCGCGAAAGCAGAGGCCACGGGGGCCGCAAAAGCAGGGGCGGCAGGGCCGCGAGAGCAGGAGGCCGCGGGGCCGCGACAGCAGGGGCGGCGGGACCGCGGGAGTAGGGGCCGCGGGGCCGCGATAGCAGGGGCGACGGGGCCGCGCGAGCAGGGGCCGCGGGGCCGCGACAGCAGGGGCGGCGGGGCCGCGTGATCAGGGGCGACGGGGCCGCTTGAGCAGGGGCCGCGGGGCCGCGACAGCAGGGGGTGGCGGGGCCGCGTGATCAGGGGCGACGGGGCCGCGATGTGAGGGCGGCTGGGCCGCTAGGGGGAGGGAGGGCCCGAGGCGCGACTCGGGATGGGCGCCGCTCCGGGCAGTAAAAAAAATTCGAACTAGCGGTGGGCCCTAGGTGCAGTTCCCACAAAAGAACCTGCTCGATACCATGAGAAAGTTTGAACGAGAATGAATGAACTATGAGTGAAGTGAGTACAAATAGCAAACCCTAATTGGGTTGTACCCCCTATGGGATACCGCACTGTAGCCTACACAACAGCATAAGCTATCTAATGTTCTGACAGACCCGCCTCAGGAGCGGGCCGAAGGATTAAGTCGAAGAAGAAGAGGAGAATGATCCAACCTACGATGAGTTAACGGTTGGACGGATGCAGTTTGACTGGGAAGCGCCGGAGTGAATCCAGGAGTCACCACCTGCACGCATTGTAGACGACGACAGAGAATGTTACTACGACTACGAAAGTAATCACGACATGGACCATCACATCATTACGAAGCTTGCAAATCTGGCCAAGGCAAGAAAGGAAGTAACAGTGGTACCTGGACAGCTGCTGTGGTCAACACATGGTGGTCTTCAGATGTCTTCATCCTCAACAGAGAGCGTCCCTTCAACGAAGTGGAGATCACCGTTGCCAACAGCCAAACCATCTACGCCAGAAGCCACGGACAAGTGCAACTGGAGTCCCACGACACTGGCTATTGCATCCACATCAGCGATGTTCTCATTGTGCCAGAGCTTCGTTACAACCTTATATCGCTCCACCAGCTGATGAAGTGCGGGGTTGGCCTGCAAACAACAGAAGACGAAATGCACTTAATATACAACGACATCTTCATCGGGAAGGCAACAAGTGTGGAAGGCGTTTTTGTGCTCGACTTCGAGTCGCCCAGAACCACCGGCGACAACGAACACATTCTCGTCCTTGACCCTACGGGTCATCCGTTGCCACCACGATGGAGCCACCCAGAAGAAACTGACTACCAGCAACCCGGCCTCGACGGCACCTTCCGCGCTCTTGCCGTACCCGTCGCCTCAACAACAAACCCTGCCGAAACCGGACCACAAGCAGTGGAAGGAGAGGAGATCATGTCAGGAACGACAGTCAAAACAACCGAGCCGACAAGCACGCAAAACTTTTGGCCACCTGTAGAGCGCCCTACCGGCTGGAACACAACTGAAGGATGGGACGTAGCCAATGTACGCTGGGTCATGGAGAACACCGCACTGGAGGAAGCCGTCGCAGCTGAAACCGGATGGGGAAGCATCGCCAACGCACCTGCAGAAGAAGCAGCAGAAGAACCAGAAATTACTGAAGAGGCACCAGAAGCAGAGGACGAAGAATTACTAACAGAGTACGGACCTCATCTACTTCCCATCACGATAGACGGCAGGGACTACCTTCGCCTCGAGACAAGGGGAGTGGCGATCGGCGATACCAACTTCGAGGGAGGAGAAATCACGCAGCTCGAAGATCGTCGCGCACGAACCTCGCCTGCGCGTTCAGAGGAACCACTGGAGCTGCCGGTAACAATGGACACTGTTACTGTCGGCGACACCAGCGGAACGTATCATGGCGTGACAATTCAAGCAGCGGCAGTTCAAATCACCGTGCCTGATGAACCTGCGGACGCAACAAGGCAAGAAACAGCGGAGGAGATATTAGCACAAGAACAGGAGCTGTACACGCGCACCAAGGGATATCGGGCTGACGGAGACATCTAGCATCAACGCATGGGACACCCATCAATCGAAGTGCTCAACAACTGCATCAATGCAAATGTTTTTGCGGCAGACGCACTGTTGCTGCCCGATGGAAAGCTGCTGAAACCATGAACCGATCTACCTAATTGCACCGTCTGTCCGGCAACCGTACTCCGCCACACGCCCTTTGCCAAAAAGATTCCGGGAGCCGAACGATACAAACCCCTGGAGAAAGTCTACAGCGATTTCCTGGTTCTCACGGCGAAAGGAGTTGGAGGGGAGCAGTACACCCTCACCTTCATTGATGCCGGCACACGCTTCGTCTGGGCCGTGAACGTCAAGGACCGCTACCTTGCCTACTACTGCTTCGAAGTTTGGCTCGCCATGGCGGAAAACCAAAGTGACGGCCACAAATTGAAAGCGTTCCGGACAGACGAAGCTCTGGAGTACATGTCGGACGACTTCAAAACCCTATGCAAGCAAAGAGGGATCAAGAGAATGGTCTCCTTGCCCTACGCCCACGAGCAACAGGGATTGGCGGAAAGAACCAACAGGAGCCTTGCGACAAAAATGCGAGCCCTCATGAAGCAGTCGGCTGTGCCAACCAAGTATTGGCCCTTCGCCATGGCGCATGCAGTTCGGCTGCACAACATGCTCTCCTCGAAAGCACTGCCCAACAACAGCTTACCTTTTAAGGAGTGGACCGGAAAACACCCCGATACACGCATGCTGCGAGTCTTCGGGTGTATGGTAGAGTACCGCCCTCACACTGCCCGAACCGGAAAATTTGAGGATCGCGCTCGCTGGGGCATTCACCTCGGAATCGAATCTGAATACCACGCCTGGACAATTCTGAACTTCGCCACCCACCAGCTCACTCGTTCACGTGACTGCATCTTCTACGAAAGACTGACCCTCCCACTGTACCGCCAGCACCGCACTACACAGAACAACGCACCGGACAACATTTTCCTGGGACAGCACAGCTACGCCAATGACGAGGACGACGTTGACGTGGCAGGAGAACAACCAGACAAGGCAGCAGCAGACGAAGCACCCTTCATCCCCATTACGGAGCAGTTCAGCACTCCCACATTCTTCCCAACAGACACCAATCCCCACGAAGCAGTACAGGCACAGCACGATCACGCAAGTGCAGAAATGCACTCACCCATGAACGAAGACCCAGCTCGTGACTCATCTCGGGACACCCTTCGTGACATCCCTGGTAACGACGACAACGTGGTCAAAGTTACCACCACAGCCGAATCCAGCCTCACGGGCCTTCGCATCCTCGGCCTCGCTGTCGCCGTACGGGGTAACCAGCAGCTGGTCGAGCCCACCACCGTTCGCCAGGCTCTCAACGGAACCGATGCCGAGAAGTGGAGAGCCGCCATGGCCGCAGAAGTCGCTGCACTGAAACGTCGCGGAACCTGGAAGCTGGTACCACGGCGCCACGCAAAGGGAGGAAGATCCTTACGGGGAAGTGGGTCTTCCGCATCAAGACCCTCGCGGACGGAACAGTCGAAAAAAATAAAGCGCGCTGGGTGGTTCGCAGATTCAAGCAGACACAATTCGTGGACTACAACCAGACCTTCACACCTGTCGGTCGTCATACCTCAGTACGCATTCTTCTCTGCATCGCCGCCGTGAAACAGCGCCCGCTTCGCAAGATCGACGTCTCCAATGCGTTCCTCTACGCGATCGTCGACGCTATCATCTACGTCGAGCAGCCACACGCGTTCGAAGAAGACGGCGACGCAGTTTGTCTCCTGCAAAAGTCCCTGTACGGCATCAAGCAGGCACCTCGCCTGTGGCAGCAACATCTTCACGGCGTCCTCATCGAGCTCGGTTTCCAACAGCTTCCCCACGATCAGGGGATGTACCGCCTCAAATCCCACGGCCACTTCATCCTGCTCGTCGCCTACGTCGACGATCTTCTCTACACCGGCGACGACAACGACCTGCTCAACTGCTTCGAACGCGAAATTCAGGAAAAACTAGAGGTCACGATCAACCACGAGGTCACTCAATTCCTCGGCCTCAACATCACTCAGACCGCGGACACCATTCATCTCTCCGCCGCAAAGTACGCCGAGACCCTTACTAAGAAATTCGGGATAGCTCCCGTCGGCGTCACCACCCCATTCCGCATTCCTCCGCCTAACCACGAGCCCGACACTACTCCGCTCTCACCAGCTGATCACCGTCTCTATCAGCAACAGCTTGGATGCCTACTGTTCGCCGCCGTCACATGCCGCCTGGATTTATCCTACGTTGCCAGCCAGCTCGCCCAGTACCTGCGCCGACCTGAAGGGGAGAACCTAGCAGACCTGCGCCGCGCCTTACAGTACTTCATCTCTACACCTGATGTTGGCCTTACCTACAAGGCCAACTTAACAGCGCCACTACAACTCACCGGCTACGTGGATGCTGACCACGCAGGGGACGTAGACAACAGGAGGTCCCGCACAGGCTTCATTTTCAAACTCGAGCCCGCAGGAGCCATCTCCTGAAACTCCAACAAACAAGAACTCATCGCCCTCTTGTCAGTGGAAGCAGAATTCATCGCAGGAAGCGCAGCAGTTCGCGAAGGACTCTATCTCACGGAACTCCTACATGAAACGAAGACGGCGATGAAGGGGTCCTTTAAGTTACTCTGCGACAACCGGAGCGCGATCAAAATCGCCAACAAGCCAGGCTTCGTCAACCGTACGAAACACATCGCACCGCGTTACTTCTTCGTGAAGGACGAAATCGACAAAGGGAAGGTCCAGCTCACATACTGTCCAGCTGGCGAAATGGCAGCCGATTTCCTCACGAAGAAACTGCCACGTCAGAAGTTCCAGTACTGCTCGGACCTGTGCGGAGTCACTTACAAAAGCCACGTGGCGCACCTCCAGGAATGAAGCGGGGTGTTGGAGTGTGAAGGAAATTGTACTTGGCATTCCAGTAGGTGCAGTAGTATCACACCTGACTCTGTCGAAGCAGTAACTACCGCAGTATCGGATCAGTCCGTAACAAGGGCAGGAAGGTCAACAGTCGCAAGAGTCAACTGTCGCGACTGTTGACCATCTGGACCGACGCTTGACTTACCATCAAACAATGGCAACAAGCGTAACCGTACAGGTTACATGCAGCGACTCGGTAACAAGAAAGGCAGTACAACAGTCAGAGTCACTGTAGAATGTCAGAACATTGTAGCTTATGCATTTTGTGTAGGCTATAGTGGGGTAGCCCATAAGGGGTACAACCCAATTAGGGTTAGTACTTGTACCCAATTCATTCATTCTCGTTTCTTCTCATGGTATCGAGCAGGTTCCCTCGTGGGAACTGTTCCTAGGGCCCACCATGTCGAATTTTTTTTCCTGCCCGGAGCGCACTTCGCTTAGGCCCGAGTCGCGCCTCGTGTGCCCTCTCTACCGTCGCGCCCGTCCTAGGCCTCCTTCGGCCCCGTCGAGTCAACCCTAGCGGCCTCCCTCGCGCCGCCCTTACTCGGCCCGTCGCCGCCCTTCGCGGCCTGACGCCGCCCTACGCGGCCCGTCGCCACCCTCAGCGGCCCGTCGCCGCCCTCGCGCCGCCCTCACCCGCGGCCCTGCCACCTACCTACGGGCGCGCCACCTTACCCGCGGCCCCGCCGCCCTTACCTGCGGCCCCGCCGCCCTTACCTGCGGCCCCGCCGCCCTTCGCTGCGGCCCCGCCACTTTACCTGCGGCCCCGCCGCCCTTCGCTGCGGCCTCGCCGCCCTTACCTGCGGCCCCGCCGCCCTTACCTGCGGCCCCGTCGCCTGCTGCTGCGGCCCCGCCACCTTACCTACAGCCCCGCCGTCCTTACCTACGGCCCCGCCGCCCTTACCTGCAGCCCCGTCGCCTGCTGCTGCGGCCCCGCCACCTTACCTGCGGCCCCGCCATCTTACCTGCGGCCCCGCCGCCCTTCGCTGCGGCCCCGCCAACTTACCTGCGGCCCCGCCGCCCTTACCTGCGGCCACGTCGCCTGCTGCAGCGCCGCCCGCCACCCGAGCTGCCCCAGCCGCCATACCCAGCCGAGCAGCCGACCGCCGCGCCGCCCTGCAGCCGAACCGCCGAGCAGCCCAGCCGTCCAGCAGCCGAGCTGCAGAGCCACCCAGTCGCCGAGCCGCCGAGCCGCCCAGAAGCCGAGCCGCCCAGCAGCCGAGCCGCCCAGCAGCCGAGCCGCCCAGCAGCCGAGCCGCCCAGCAGCCTAGCCGCCCAGCAGCCGAGCCGCCCAGCAACCGAGCCGCCCAACAGCCGAGCCGCCCAGCAGCCGAGCCGCCAAGCAGCCGAGCCGCCTGCACCGCCGAGTCGCTCGAGGCGCCCTCTCCGGTAAGAGCAGCGCCTCTTTCTCCGCACTGCCCTTACCCTACTGTTTGCGCTGCTAGTCTACTTCTGTCATGGCTACCCCTAGTGTCCTCGCTTTTGACGCTGAGGGTAGGGCCATTGACTTTGACTTCTGGATAGATGACCTGCAGCTTTTCTTACAGTGCGACAGGGCACACGGACTCTCTCTCTTTGACCTCACCTCTGGTGCCTCTCCTGCCCCTGCTGCT